TTGTTTTTTTACGAAATAATTTGCAATACTGTTTAGCACATATAATATCTTATATTATTTACTAAGTTATTACGTTCTTATCAATTTTAACATAATATATTTATTTTTCGGCAAAGTTTTGTGAACTGTCGAATGTAGGCAGTCAAGGTGGAAAAAATTATCACACAATATAAACTTCAAGTTTAAATTTTTTAAAAATTGGATACTTAAACGGAAATAACAATTTAAGATATCTTGTGTACTTATATATTTTTCATCACCACATATATTAGTTTTTACCAAGCCTGATCATAAGCGAGTTAAAAAGATACAGTTCAGTTAAAAGTTAAGTTAATTTCAGTTCATTAACTTAATTTATAACTTAACGAATTTTTATTGGTATAAAATTAATAAATACCGAGTTACTTTTAATAAAATCCGAGTTACGATAATTTATAAATAATTAAATAATAAATATAAATATATAATACAATTATTATTGATGATACCTACATGTTGCATAAACATTAGCTTTTTTATTATTTTAAGCCATATTCTGCCTATTTTTAATAAAAATATAATTAACTTAACTAAAGTTAAATATGTTAACTTACTGTAAGTTTCTATATAACTTTTAACTTAACTGAGTTAAAAAAAAAATAGGATAACTATTAACTATAAACTTTTTAAAATATTTTCTATCAACTTAACTCAATTAAAAATTATGATTAACTTGCCCAGGCTTGTGTTTTATTATACTCAATGTGATTTTAAAAATATTTAGATTATTTTAATGCTATATTATTGATACCACGAAACTACTTCACCGGTTTTCCGTGGCACATCCGTATTAACTTATTATTTAATAACAGCTAGTAATTATATGAAATAATATTATTCATTTTAATAATGTTTTTAGATAATATATTATAATATACAATTTGTTTTTGTCAAAAATAAATGCAACTTACCAATAACACTAATTTAAAAATTAATTAGGTAGGTATAGGTATAATACTATAATAAGCGCAATAGCAATATACATATTATAATATATTTAGAATTATATGCTTACGAACTTCTCCACTCAGAATCATTTTTAGTTCCTATATATTAATATGGTTTATCATTGAATTGAAATTTAATACATATATTACAGATACGACACTCATTTATTCCATGATCCTATTCAAACCACTATAATACTGTACGTAGGTGTTGACCTATATTATATAATATTAAAATGTTTCTGTGTGATATTTTTGGAAACAATTATTTTCAGCTATACAATTTAGAAAAATGTATTACCTACTTACTAATATTGTGATGTAAAAAAATTATGAAATATCCTTAGTAATAGAGACTATAGAAGCTGCTATGAATATATGAAGTCTATGGTTCAATCATTTGTCGTATGCAAGAATTGAATGATTTATCATTAAATTAAAATTCATAACTGTTACAAATGGGTAAGTTAAAAAAATTATATTTTATTTATTCAACAATAACTAAAATTGGGACTCCGCTTGAAATAATATTTCGATTACAATTTACAATGTTATATCGTAAACTTTTAATAGAAAATCCATACTTTCCTACCCACTTTTTAAATGTTATTTTTGCTATGGAATCTGAATGTCTTCTTTTGCAAAGCATATCTAAGATTTTGAAACCATAAAATAATATTAATATATTACAACTTATAACTTGTGGATCTTAATTAACATAATTGTAGTGTTGGGTAAATTACTTTTAAAAAGTGGATAATAAAATTACGTTAATATTGTTACTTTAAAATTTAAATATATTTGTTAAAACTTCTTTCACGTTACTTAACATTACCTTTTCGTTTAAAAAGTATGGTGTAAAAAATTACGTTACTTTTTTTATATATTTATATAATATTAAACATACATTTAAAATAAAAAAAAATCAATGAATCCACTATATTCACTAATATTGTGTGATTTGTAAATAAAAATTGTTATACCTGTTATAGCCTCTTAGAGCAGTGATAATGCTTTTTAATCATGTAAAAGAAACATATATGGAGATTGAAATATAGATAGAATATTAGAATGTTATCTTGTTCAATGGGAAAGTTCATTTAGTTGGTACATTCAGGAGGTCAAAATTCCTAGTAGTTTTCAAAAGTGACGGGAAAAACAAACAAAAAAAAAAATAAGAAAATCGGGAATTTTCACATAAAATATGTTTTAGTTTTTGGTCTTACTCTAAAACAAATTAACATAGATAAATTTTTCACTAAATGTTTATAAAAGCATTTTCTATAGTCTATACACTATACAACTTTTAAAATATTTTGTGCTGTTTACGGACATTTTCAATTTTCAGTTTTTTTAGTTTTTTTTTTCTATATAAATGTCCATACAATTTTATTCGTTGGATCAAAAAGCATTATAATATCATTATCTAGCTTTATAACTTATTAAATCGTTATAAAGCTTTTATAAGCATTTAAAGTTCGAATTTTGGCAAAATTTATCAAATTAAAAATTAATTTTGTAGTTAAAAATTTACAAAATGCTCAACTTTTATAGTTCAGGGATTGAAAATTTAAAACAAGGCTTTTCAGTAGGGTTTTCTGTAACAAAAAATATAAAAAATATAAAAATACAGATTTTTTAGTAGTTATTTTATGTTCAAATTTGGACAAAATTAAATATTTAAACGAAGAAGAACGGTTTTAGTTTTATGTTATATTTAAAAAATATTATTCGTGGGTACTTAAAACTTCTAAAGTACAAGGTGTCCTGCGAGGTTTTACCCATTGTGATATCTCCTGAGATAATAAATATATCATAAATCTGATTTTTTATTAGACTCGCAGAGACAAGGGCTACACATATTTTATTTTTTAATTTAATTACAGTTTTTGGTTTTATATTATTTTTTAAACAATTGAAGATAGCCATTTTATGAAGTTTATTTTTGTGACAAATTTTAACTTCTCAACATTTTATTTTCATTAATCTCGTGATTTTTTTAGTAATTTTTTTTTGTAGGTAAAATTTAACACCATGTATTACAGCCACCCACTTGTAACCTACTGTACAGAAGAGTGACTTTCACTTACCCACATTTTACTTTCGACACCCCAAATTACCAATTAGAGTAAATTCACTACCAAAAATCATAACTAAAGTTTAAAATCATTGGAGAATTTTTACTGCTATTAAAGGTGTTGTCAAAAAATAACACACACATCACATTTTAAAACCTTAAATTCATCACTCCGCTCAGAATCACTATAATAAAATATAAGATAAAAATGAATAAAATATGTAAATACATTTCTATCACAAATTTACTCGAGTTTTTCATGGCTACAATATTATAACTTAAAATATAATATTATTCAATAATGTATTAATGTTGAATATAACATTGCTTTATAGCAATTACCTTTTATAAGTAATTTCGTTATAATTCGGTTAATTGAAATAAAATATAATAAACGTTACTAAAAAAAGTAATTTTGTTAAGTTAATGAATTTGTAATTTATCTTACGTTATTACCCAATGTTCAATACTTCATAATTATTAATTGTATATAGATACGTTTTGTTCAAAGTGATCATCATATATTTTTTTTATAATACAATGTTTAGTGTTACGTATAATTTGGACGTTGTACCCATAGATATTATAAGACTTATAGCTTACCCGCATAGATATGTTGTCACTTGTCTCCGTCTTGATCACGCATAGGCATAACACAGCAAAAATGCAAAATATGTTACATTCAGAAGAATCCATATATACATATAAGTATATTACATATTATATCCATTTATTTTTAATACTATTAAGTAAATTTACTAATTATTTTACGGTTTTTTATGTATGCATTTTGTACCAAGTCATGATCATTCAAATATGAGGACAATATTTTCTCCTTCAAATTTGAATATTTAATAATATAACATCAAAGTGTGTCAATATGTCAGTTCACTCTAATATTAAAAATAACAGAGTAAATAAATTGGATTCTTCTGAACTTAACAATTGCTGTTATGCTTTAGTTTGACGGAGTCAACACATGTGGGTTATATAATTTACACTCCGACGACCTCTTTAAAATAAAGTAAACTATAAAGATATTTTTTTAAAATAATTAATATTATTTTCTGGAACCAAAGGTGAGCTCTGGACTTTTATCCTATTTTTTAAACACTTACGCTTAGTTATTATCTATATCTGTTCTATTTGTATTCTTACTCTTATTAGTGTCTAACTTGTAACTTGGTTAGATGTACATATACATTAATCTGATACTAAAAATTACTTGTTAGTATTGTTACGTATTACCTTGTAAAATAATTAAACGTAAATAATATCTAAAATATACCTTAAACATTTAGTATTATATAGTATTTAGTAATTGATATTTTAGTTTAGGAGTCAGGATATTGGTTTTAATAATGATTATAAATAAGTTAATCGACACACTGAAATAATATTGATAGTTTAATGATTGTATTATTACAAAAATCAATTTGGGTATAAATATAAAAAAGTGCAGTTTTGCTAGTAATATTTTTACACCAATCTAACGTAACTTATTGCCTCAATAACCGTTATGACATGAACGACGGTTTTCAGATTTTGTTTTTCGCATAATATACACAACTAACACAAGTATAATGATATATTATATTATTTTAATGACGCATTCTCCATTGTAGAATCTAAATAATTTGTGTACGATATAAATAACACCTTCTATAATAATATATTACAACATAATAATATGTTTGACACGACTACCGTCGTTGGCATTGTTTAAAAGCAACACAAACGGGATTGATTATTAAAATATAGTGTGTTAAATATAAATATTACAAAATAAATTATTGCATTGTATGTAACCAAGTAGGCACTATATTATAACATCATAGACTAACCGGTTAAATTATAATATATAAATATTATATAAAACAAAAAATAAAAAAATTCGATTAATGCGCAGTGCATGGATAATAATGTAATGTCACATGTCAACCGTACGACACGGTGTAGCCCATGTTTGCCATGAGTGAATCCTTCAAGACGGGTTTCAAGGTACGTTCCATGTGTTTGGCCAACAGGGATCGAACGCCGCGTACGAACACGTCTTCCATTTCCATAAGGAGTTGGTCCTGCGCCTGCTGGTGATGAGGATTGTTGGTGGCGGCAGGACCAGTGGCGATGGTCAACAGTGGGTGCTGGGGTAGTTTGTTGTGGTACTGAATCCTGCGCAGCCTGGGTTCCGGGCTGGGTGCCGGTGGGTTGACGAAGCCGGCCGAGACGAAGGGGAAGTTTTCGGTAACGGAAGGGTTGTCGGCGGGTTCGGTCTCGTCGGAAGCTGATGACGACGACGACGACGACAGAGGTGGCGGCGATGGGCGTCGACCTCTACGCTCGTCGCTGGAACCGCCAGACTCTGCGCCGCCTTCGTCCACGTCCAAGTCAGCGTCACCGCCGGTTGACAGCAGCAGTTCGTCGCTGACACCTCCTCCCAATTCGGACGACAAAAACTGTTCGTAACGGTCGGAAGACTCGGCCGTCGCAACCGGACGTTCCCTGTTGCCGGGGAATCCCGCCGCACCACCCACGCAATTATAAGAGTGCACGCTGACGTACGCGGCCGCTGGATCGTCGGCGGGCTCGGGGTCGATGAACGTGGCCGTGGTGCGAATGGTCATCGTCGGCATGGCCGTCAGGCGGTTGGGCGGTGATTTTTCCGGCACGGTGAGCGGCGCTGCCGTGAAACCCAAACCGGCCCGTGGCCTGAGACGCAACGTCATGTCACATCCGGTTTCACCGACGCCGCCGCCGCCAACACCGCCGCCGCCACCGCCGTACAATAGTCGCACCGAGCCCGACACCATCAACGTGCGACCGAACCTCATGCGTGCCTCGAGCGTGTTGCCCAGAGGATCATACCGACACCCGTCCACTCGAGCCCACGAACGGTCGCCACCCGCGCCGCCACCGAAGCCACCGGTGTCGCCGCCGTTTGGCGACTGATTCTGCGGCGGCGGCGTCGCGTGGTGGCATTACTTTGGCGCGCATCCCGGTCACGTACATTTCAGCGCCGGGCGCCGTCCGCAACCGTTGGTGTAGCGCGTAACCCGACAGGTCCATGTAACCGGACGGAGGCTGTGGGACGGCGGTGTGACGTCGGTTCCCGTTTTTGGTGCCCGTCGCTGAGGACATCATGTCGCCGAGCGCTGACTGCACGCGGGCCATGCATCGGCCGTCGGCTGACGGTGTTACCGAAGACGCGGCCGTCGCGAACGGGTTCTTGTTGGTTATCTTAGGGGCTGCCCGCTTGTCTACCCGATGGCCAGTCCACCACAGCGTCGGAGGAAATGCAGGTGGATCTGCAGGCGGAACTGCAACAGATAAAATGAAAATATAGTACAATATCAACACGAACAATGATAATGGGCTTATAATAATTAAATCAGCGAATAATTCCGTTCAGGGACGAGGGACCCTATTCTTGGAGCCCTGTGCTAATTAATAAACCTATAGCCATGGTAAATGGGACGTGCATTACTGCAGTCCATATATGTATATGGCTATTGATAATTTACTTGAACTAATAGCTATTTATGCAATTATGCCGTTATCACTTTATTAGTAGGTAGGTATCTATTGAATATTGTAATATCATTTTCAAAACGTGAATCTACTAAAACGGTATATGTGTGCACAGGTACAACATAATATATTTTAAATATATCATAAATAATGGAAAATAAACAACAAAAGAAAAGGCTATATATATTATGTCGATTTCACAGAAACAGTGGTGAATCAACAAATTATGACTGAAGAACAGCGGGATATGTAAAATTCATCCATACGTCTAAATTTAATTGATATTTAATCCAATTATTTTATAATTTTAGTTTTTAAATTAATAATGTTTAGACAGTAATAATGAGTAGGGATCAAAATACCGGAAAAATTCGGGAAAATTTAGGAAAAAAACAGTTTTTTTCCCAGAGCCTCAGAAAAAGTGGAAAAATTGGAGAATATTAAAATAATACATTTCCGAAAAAAACCGTTTTCGGTTATAGGTTTTCGGAAAATTTAAAAAAAACCGAATTTTTGAAAAATTAAAAAATGTTATTAAGGCTTAAAAATTAAAATAATCTTTGTAAAAAAAAACCATTTTAAAAAATAGATAAGGAAACCTGTCATTGTCATTTCAAATTTTTCAAAAACGGTTGTGTTATCAATGTATTATTATATTAAAATTTTAAAATATAATTTAAATATATTAATAAGGATATTTCAATATTTGTTCTAAAAATAACGTACTTCCATTTCAAATTGGTATTTATGTGGGAGAGTGTATTTCCCCGAAAATAAATCACCTGTATTTTTAAATGTTAAAAATTGTATACTTATTGTTTATTTATATTTGTAATACTAATAAAGTAAACAGCAGTAACTGGCTAATAGGTTTATAAATTATATTACAGTGACTGGTGAGTAGTGAGTGATAACTAGTAACTATTTCATAGTTCTTTTATTTTTAAACTTAGTGAGTACCTATTGGTAATAAAATGTATTAAATATAAAATATTATAAATATATATTAAATAATATTAATAACTAATAAGAAATAACTACATAGTAAATACTTAATAGTTAGTACTTTAGTAGTTAATATTACAAATTATAATTATTTATAAATCAAGTATAGAATCCTCTAGATTTATCCACTACAGACTTTAAGTTAGGTATGGTATGTATAATAATATGTATGTAATTATTATTATAAACTATAATTATTTATTAGATTGTTTCCACTGTAGGTACATTACTTTTTTAGTTTTTAAGAAAAAAAACATTTTTCTATCAAATTTTTAAATTTTTCAAGAAAAAACCAGTGTTTTTCGTCAAAACCATTTTTTTGGGAAATTTTGAATGAAACCAATTTTTCCCATTTTTTCCACAAAAAAACCCGAGATAGGTTAACCAGGTATGCCTACGTAAATATTTTTATTATTTATTTTTCAACGGAATACGAGGCGACGACGATAATATATTTACTTACTTATTTTACCGTCACTGTCACCGATACCGATGGGACTGAACAGTTTGTGTTGGATTTGGTGGTAATCGATATTGCCCAATACTACAGCCGCCAATGAACCGAAACTGCGTCCACGCTCAGCAGCCGGCAGCGACATTACTAACAGAAATGTCCATATCTTTAGCGCCATCTGCCGAACAAAAGAAAACCACGAAGATAATAACAGAATATTATTATTATTATACTAAACAATTTTTGCATCGATTAGTTTTATAAGTGTACGCGTGATGCACGTAGTTTATATACATTCAAATGACGGGTAATCGATTCACCAGTTGTAAAAAAAGAATGCAGACTGCACCATTTATGTTGTATAATATGCACCGAGGCAATTCGTTTAAGTGCCAACACTCAGTTTTAACTTTTTTGAAAATATGTTTATACGTAATTTTATGCAATTGCAAATCAACATTGTTGAACAACAAAGTTATGTTTTTTAAAACTTTTCGTTATTATTTTCATTATTTTTTACGTTTCTTTTTTTTTTTTGGATTGACGGCATTTAGATATTTGTAATTTCATATTACTATGCAGAATATACTTTTAGGAGTATTTCGATACCTAAAATTTTAATTTTGAACTAGTAGTTATAATTATAGTCATAAATTATAACTTTTTAAGTTTTATATGAGCAAAACATTAGTCCACTATTCCTCTTATTTAAACTTTAAATAATTATATCTCATTTTATGCATATAATATATATATAATATGCTATACTCTTTAAAAAATGTGAATCGATGTACCTAAGTAGGTACACCAAAAAATATACTGCCAAGAAATATGAAATTAAACATGTATGTTGTCATTCAAAAAAGTATAACATTTAAAAAATATTAAATAAATATAATTGTTTACAAAAATGTTGTTTTGCAATGACATCAAATTATATAAAAATAATATTTTAAAAAAAGGAAAGATTCCGAAATATTTAAATGTATCCTATTGTGTACAGCTAATTGTATCGCTGTTCTGTAAAAATTCCTACACCCAATGACGAGTCGAAACGCGTATGGATAAAACTTTGTGGGTGAAAACTGCGCAAGACTTACCAGTCGACTTCGAACGATGGCGACGGAAATAAAAATATAATCATAAACGTGTCGTTATTGAACGTGGATAACTGTTATGTGCGCGTTGTCTTATTAGTGTGTGGGTATTTTAATAGGCAAATTAAAAAGTAGTGATTTAATTAATTTCGTTTTATTGCACACTAAATTCCGTATATTCTGTATATAGGTTAGTATATGTACATGTGTTAGTCTGTTCTATCGTAGGTGTTTCATATTATCATATATTTTATCCTTTCAGCCAGTTTAAGCGGATAAAATGTGATTACTACTCACTAGTCAATAGAATCAGCAGTTTTCATTGTTTTCAGTTTTTCACCACACTCGATTCTATACATTTGTGCCGATTAATGATTAAACTATAATAATTGAGTAAAACTGTTTCAATAAAAGTGTTCAAATATACATTTCACAGTATCATATTTGAATATCTCTACTACCTATTGTACATTTTAACATATTTAGAGGTGTGTGTAATAATTTTGAAATATTTCATAAACTAATCAATGTGAACAAACTACAAAGTCACAGTTTTCCATACAAATATGAAATAGGTAAAATTATATTATTTTATATGAATTCATTATACTATTATGGATACTACATTTTAATGAAAGCTTATTCGTGCCACGCTACACTTTAATGGTTGATTCAGCTATTATTTATAGATATAATTTTTAGAAGGTAGATACGTTGCGTGTATTAAGCACACAATGTATAAATCGTTTGGTAAATTCCGATTGACTATAATAATATTGGAAGTATTGTGTTAAAAGACCATAATATTATAATATTTAAATATTATGTAGAGCAATCGATCTCTTCCAACTATACACGTCTGCACGTGAGTTCAGTACTAACGGATCCCATGTGTAAAATGTATTATTATTTTGTTCCGCGTGTAAAATCGCGTTGAATAATGATTGTTATTATTTAGATAGGATCGCACCTGCATGTCAACGACGACGACACTAAAAAATAAATTTTAAAATTTTAGTGAAAATTGCGTTACATACCTTTTGTTGCAGCCACGCCGGACGAATACTCTGGCGGGACGTGAACGCGGCCGGTAACCCTACCGGTCTTCTTCGCGGACTATCGATGGACTGGAGAGGAATTAAAGATGATTTTGCGCGAAGAGGTTGGATATGCCACTGAAACGGATGTAACTAGACGGCGACGGCGACGACGACAGCTATCTGAACAGCGCTGCAGCAGACCCGTCGTCGTATATAGGTGGTAAGGGCAAGTACAGGTATATAATACGCGGTTAACGGTGGTCGTCGTCGGTTCGGCCGAAAGCCTACGATATTGTAATGGTATCATTACGATAATAATATACGAGCTCAGTTGTACTTCAGTGGTGGTAGTGGCGGCAGTGGCGGGTGGGGTCGTGTTATTAGGCGCACCGTCTGTATTCCGCACAACCGGCGCGAGACTGCTGCCATATATATAATATATATAGATACTATATACATTATATTATTATTATTATATTATAATAAACTCTCGGTTTAATGCACTCTGGTTCGGCGGAGTCGGCGAATGACTCGGTCTAAAACGGTTAGTGTGCCAAATGCGAATGTTCAGATCGGCGGCCACCGTATATATTATAATAATGAGACCGGCCCGGTCCGGCGGTCTATCATCATCGCATTCGCCACTGCGCAAATAATAATAATAATATTATACGTTTTTTTTTTTATCATGCACAGGCTATATTGTAACCGTGTGTCGACTTTTATTCCGGTGAAAACTCTTATAATAATATTACATACACTCATAGGTATATAGGTACGTGGTGGTCTGGTGAACGTGGTTCCGCGCGCTCGCGTAGTTCCTATTGTTGTAGTCGCTGTCGTGTGTACTTATATTATTATAATAATACAATAATAATATTAAACTATAATAGGCGTAATACTCGATGATCACATTATTATTACTATCTTCGTTGTTATTATATTATGCGTCTCGGCGTTGTAAAACACTAGGCGTGGCCGTTGCGGTGGCCGTTCTTGTAATATTGTATTATATAGGTAGGTACCACGCTTACTGCAACAGTCAAACGTTAGATTATTATTATGTAGGTATTACTATATAAAATTATAATCAATCGTTTTAGCTTACACTATGTTATAAATCTGTAAACAAGATACACGTGAGTCAAGTTTAAAGCTAAAAGTTACTTTGCTTAGTTAAAAATCACTTATATTTTTTTCACTCATTTACATATCCCTCCAAGCGTACTAAGCTAATTAGATAAAAGTATAAATACACAAAAACAAAAATATACATATTATATTAAAAACATAATATCCTATAAGAGAACACGCAGGTATAAGGTATAACACCCTATTGGTCGTATCACTTTTTTGTCTGATTTACATATTATTTAAATACAGGTACCTACCTATATTCTAGTAATATGCAATATTACAAAAATTATTCATACAAATATATACATTACAATATACGAATAGGTAGGTAGCCATTCGTTATTTTCCCGTTAGTCGTCTCACATATTAGGTACCTATTTAGTAGGTATAAAGTTGTATAAGTTATTTGTTGATATTTGATTATCATTGGAATCTAGAATAATTAGTGATTTCAGCAATTTGATATTTTACTATTTAGTATTTATAATAAAAACTCATTTAATATTATTAGGTATGAACAATACTTCTGATAGTTTGTCTTTTATTTGAAAAAAACAATAAATTGTAGTCTGTACATAATAATATACATTTAAAAACCATGACTTCATATATTAAATTATGAAAATTTAAATTAACGTGACTATACAATTAATTATTTGATTAGTAACTCCGGGTATCACGGGAAAAAATTAATTATTAAGTTCAAAGTTCCTTAAAAAAAAAAGTAATTTTCTATGCAACTTAGTTAAAAGCAATTTAACTTAAACCGATTAACTCGTTAATGTCCAGACTTACTTTATAGTTTATTGTTTATCAGTAAATATTATGATATTATGATATTTGTAAACAATAAATTAAGAGGATGTCAAACACCAATAAATTGTTAGTGAAAACTATTTCGAGTAGATAGAACCACTAAGGTTACAGCCGTAGATGAGAAACGAAATTGATATGATAATTTCCAAAATACAGAAGACAATATTAACCATATTGTAGTGTTTTGATTTTTTGATTTCATAAACAAAAAAAAAAAAGTTTTTGCTTAGAACATATTATATATATTATTAGATTAACATACTTCTGTATGGACATCAAAAAAAAAAAAAAAACTCTAGAACAAAACCAATATTATAATTTTTACAATGTATACATATTCGGTTTTATAACTAACCATGGCTTTAGCTTATTATAAGTTGCTATTTTTCACAAAGCCGTTTTCTAATTAATATCTCAAATACTCAACAACCAGTAATGGTACAGACACGGGACCACTTTTAAGTTACTTTGAATTAGTATTTAGACATATTTACCTAGGATTGAACATTTACATTTTTCTCAAAATTATCTATACAAAACCCCTAAAAAGTTAGTGTGTGGCCTCTTCTTATAGAGAACATCGTATCCACTGCATGTGTCGTCTCCGTCATACTAATACGCATAATATTATAGTACATAATATATTTCACGTTCAGGAGAATCTATTTTACTCAGTTAGTTTTTCGATTATTTTCAATTTTAATTAAAGTGATTCGAACTAGTCAATTTAAAAGTAAGAATATTACTCAAGACCCTGTATAAGATTTTTTTGATATTTTAATTTTGAAGCAACTTATAAGAATTTGAAAATTAAAATTTTTTTGTTCTCTTAATATTTTTTACAGTAATAGAATGGCACTAGAAAATTTATTGACAAGACGATAATATTATCATAATTATGAAAGATCAAACCAAATAAAGGAAATTATATAATAGGTATACTTAATATTTATATTATATTATACCTACTTAAAAACTAACTAACGACGGATATTCCGCATAATATGTGAAGGCACTGGAAACGACGACTGAAGCGTAAAATAACTTAAAATTTTAATTTTCTTTTTTTGTTTGTTTTTACTTTCATA